CGCAAATGATGCTTTCGGGCCACATGTCTTCTAGTTTGCTGTGGCGGCATGTAAAATCTGAGGAACTTCGTGCAGCCTAGAAACTGTTGCACGTGTAGTTTCTCACGTAGCGGCAGGAAGGCCGTCACGGCCTTCGTCTTGTCTTCTTGAACACGGAGACCTTTCCTTCCTACTCGCTGTCCTAAAAGACTTCCTTCCGTTACCTCCAAGGCGGCCTTCTCGATTCCGTAAGACATCCCACTCTGAATGCTCCGGTCGACGAAAGCCTCCAGCTCGACAACATGGTCGATCAGAAAGGGATCGGCTCCTGAATGTTTCTTTCTCATATCCTGTCCCAGCCCGCATGGTAGGCGTCCGTCGGGCCTCTGTCCACCAGCTCGTCGATCGCGCCAGGCGTCTCGATCACATGAAACACCGAGTCCGCAACCACAAAGCCGCCGAGAGGCACGCCAGCATTCCAGCGACGGCAGCTCCTTTCACTTTAGGCATGGCTGCCCCGCTTCCCATCGCGAGCACGCCCATTTTACGGCCGTCCTGCCCCCCCTGCGTGGCTCCGGTCCTCCGGTTTCTCCGGGCGTGCTTTTCGGCCCAGACATCATTAGGAGCAGCCTGCGAAGCTCCCCTGCCCTGCACTACTCCGCAGCAGCGTGCACACAAAGGTTCCACTACGGGCGGCGGGGGAGCCCCGCAAGAGCAAAGTTCCGCTTCGCTCCTTTCTTCGGCAAGCCAACACTCGGCGTCCACGTGTCCACACGCCGGACACCACCTCTGCATCCCAGCGCCCTTTCGCACTTAAGGTCGCAACAGGCGTTCCCAGCTCCAGGTCCACATGGGACTCCGCTTCCACGAAAATCGAAAACCGGCCTCCAAGGAACCACAAGGGAACACAAACCCAACTCCTCCTTCCTTTCCGGCCATCGGCTCGGTGGATGGCCCTGCTCGAGCCGCGCGTGCTCAACCACCGACGTCTTCAGGCTCAAGAGAGCATGGGTCACTGCAAGCGAGCACTTCGCCGTCCTCCTTGCAACTGGTACCGGACTTCATTCCATTCCAAGCTTCTTCGACTATGCTGTCCACAAAACAAAGGGGTAGGCCTTGCCTCAAACGGCTCAATCTCCTCCCTTCTCCGTGGAGTTCGAATGCCCACTCCGTCCAGCACGTGCGTAGGGCTTGCACGGACCTCCTTCCTCCCAAGATCAGCCCATGCCAGGAGCTCGTCCCAGCCGCGAGCACCTTGGCCCGTACCAGGATCTCCTTGCTCTTACTCCCTGAGATGTCCTGCAGCTTCACCCTCAGGACGACACCGCAAAGCGCGCGATCGGCCTATCCTTCGCTAGTCCAGTCACCACGTCTTCCTGAGGCCATTTTAAACTGAACCTAGGGGAAACTCAGATCATTCGACTTCAGACCGGCGTCCAGAGCTTTCGTCAACAGCCAACAGCCCGCACACCATCTCTTCCCTGCAGCTTTTGCAGCCGGCACACGTATCCAACATCGCAGGAACCAAACGCCCATAGATGTTCACTTCCGTTCGACACTGGTAATTTTCGTCACGAACCAGCTCGAAGGGATGTCCTGTCCTTGAACCTGAAGGCCGCGCGTTTCCACTTGTCCTCAAGCTCCGACTTGGGTGGCTCAGCGCTTGTTCTTGCCCTTGCCCTTTCCTTCTCCTTTGTCCTTACGATTCCTTCCAGCTCCACTGAAGCGGTCTTCCTTCTTCAGAATCCCAGCCATCTCCGTGGCCGCGGTTTGACTCGTGCCGCGGACAACACTGAATTCCACACAGCAAACGGGTTCTGCCATTCACCTCCAGAAGGTCTACAGTACCCTCCGGAGTTCCCGCCGGTCCATCCAACGTGGACAGTTCTTTCCCAGGGTCAGACTTCACTGTTCCGTTGCTCAGGCCTCGCTTGTACAGCAGGTCGTAGGACTTCAAACGGTGTTGTCGCAGACACGCTCGGAGGACGGAAGATGATCAGACCCATCATTGGCTAGATGGACCGTCGACTCAAACTGGTCATAAAAGTCCGTCACCGACTTATGGTCAGTGAAGTCATCAGACATGTCAGGTAACCTTGGGCGAGATCTGGATCGTCGACCGAGGTTTGCCTCTTCGCCACCGGGACTTCTCAGAGCCTCCGCCACCGCCTTGGTCGGCTCCGTAAGGGAAGCAAGCACCCTCCGCCCCAGTAGGTGAGGATGGCCCTCCCAAAGCACCACTCAACAGGGGAACTGCTCCAGATCTCGGCCTCTCAAGGGATTCCGGCTTAGCCTTTGCAGTCGCCACTTCCAGCCCTCCGAGGGCTTGCGACTTCGGAACTTCCTTAACTTAGCAGGCGACAGATCGGAGCCGCTGAACAGTTTCTCCTTCTTTCCCGACAGCTTGCCTCCTCGTTCCTCCACCATTGTAAGAAGGGTCGAGAGACGCACCTCCCTTTCCTCCTCACCATCCGCGCCATCCACAAGCTGTTGCGCGAACCGCAACTTCAGTTGCTGTAACTGTTCATCACGACCAAGGCCCTTGAGACTATCTTGGATCTCCGCCCTCATAAGAAGGACAGCTATCTCAGTCGCGTCAACAAACTCACCACTCATCTCCAGGGCCTCAGCCACTCTCGTGACCCTGTTCTGGTAGCGGCCCAAGCTCTCCATGCTCGGATCATACGGCTCAGCCAGCTTTCTTCTCAGCTGGTCCACTACCGCCCCGCCACCCGAAGCAAGGGAAGTAGCACCCGAAACGGTTCCTGCCCCTTGCAAGCTCCGCAGCCGCTCCACGAGTTCCCGGCTGGGCGACCCCGAGGGGTCCGCTCCTAGCCCCTTCGTCGCGGCCTCCGGCTTTTCCGCAAGCAGCTCCTCTTCATCATTTTTTTCTCCTAGTTCCCGTTCGGCCTCTGCTACTTCTGCTTCCTGCTCGTCCAGGGCGTCACGCCAACCAGTTCCATGATACCTCTCCATCATGCTCTTCCAAAGAGTTGACTCCTGCTTACTGGAGACGGACACGGGATCACCCTTCTTCGCGGGCCTCTTTCCCGGTCCAGCTCTCCACCCCTGCCAACCATGAATGCGCAGCAGCAGAGGGGAGGGGATAATCCCCTCTTCGACCGCCTACTCAAAGGAGACGTCAGTACCACTCACTTCCCGGTCGACGGAAGCCATATCACCGCTGACCGACCGCGAAACGCGGCCCAATCACGCAATAACTTGGTGAAACGGCTCCGCTAGCTTACGCTTGACCCAAAACGTTAACAGAACTACACACTCACAAGACACGAAGCAATTCACACAGCTCACGACGACTGCTACAAAGCAACTCCGGAAGCTAGGCCCTCAGTGCCCTTTCAACTTCACAACGCACGCACGCACGCACATCTTATATTATTACAGCTGACATATTATGTATAATTAAATAGTATAATGTAATTGTTTATAGTTCTTAAGTGGTTTCCTTCTGTCCTTTTGTTTCCGGGCTTGCATGGGTAGTATGTAGGCGGCTCAGAGATACAACGTAACACTGACTTAGGTCTTGCGGCCTGCACTTGGAACTCGCTTTTCACTTGTCAGCAGACCACGAACCACATGCTTCGCCTGGATTGTCCGAGTGTGCGGGCCCAAATCACCCCCCACCTGAAGAAACTGTTTTGTAAATGGGCTTCGTTTGTTTACAAATGGGTTTCAAAACTGGTAGCTTTGACATCCTGATGGACCAAAACTATGATTGTGAAACGTGTTTTCGATTTTGGGGTTCATGTGGTGTTGCATCGATTGCGAAACGATTGTTAAAAACTGATGTGTTTCGACTATATCGGAAAACTTTGGCCTGCATTTGATGTGGCAAAGGCATGTTGAATAACAAGCCTTGGTCGGGCATCGAACTTCAACTGAGTCACAACAAAACAAGTTTGAAGTTTTGTTGAGTAACCCAATGGAAGACATGGAATCTATATGGTGTTCGGAAGATGTAGCAGACCAAAACTTGTTTTGTGACGAGCGAACAAATGAAGAATATGTGGAATTGACACAAGACATGGGTTGTGTTGAAAAATGTAGACACAATCTTTATGGTACAACAAATACGGGACCCGCTCCAGTACAGTAAACCTTAAATCTAAAAACCTCGTCTTAAACATCGAATCATTCATGTCCATAAAGTTGATTCAATTCTCGACCCTCTCCCTAGCCTCCACCTTAAGATTCGGCCGAGCCGATACTCTGTTCCGACAAGGAGAGCCCGGATCCTTTTCATGCCTTTCCTGAGCCACTGGCCCTGACCTGACCCCCGCATTGTCCTGATCCATTTTTGTGAGTTGATACGTCTTCCTACCCTTTCGCCTCATTGAAACTGTAAGAGCACACGTTCCAGTCCTGGTCCTGAGGATGCTTGGACTTTGACCGAGAGTGTCGTAAACTGAACCAGGGCTTCGAGCTCTCGTGTCTCTGCAGGAGCCCCATGCAACAAATGGTCCATATGACGGAGGCTCGCAGACAGCCTTCCCACTAGGTTCCCGATTGTGTTGCATGGTGAAAGGAGACGGTGTTGGGCTTATGCCAAGAGTCTATGGCCATATTCAACAATCAGCCTATGCTTTTGGAACTGGACGCATCGAGCCCGGTTATTGTCGTCCGAGCTGACCAATTTCTTGCAGCAGACTCTGGAACTTGTTTCCACCAAGTCGCCACTACATCTGTGCGGAGATGTGCACGGACAGTATCCAGCCTCGACTTAGACAGATTTTCTTGCCACGAGCATGCTCACTGACTGGCGACGTGGCGAGGTATCACGATCTCTTGCGAATCTTCGATGCAGTCGGCTACCCACCCCAGGCGCGTGCACTCAAAGACAGTTATGCAGCTGCCGTCGCCTCTCAAGTCAGGCGAATTATCTGTTTCTCGGTGACTACGTGGACCGGGGCAAGCGCAGCTTGGAAACGATTTGCCTCCTTTTTGCTTACAAGGCCACGACTGACGAATAATGGTCTTGTGATTCACTGGCAAGAGCGCCGGCATGGCATAGCCACACACTGCCCCACTCCCGCCTGCCAGATAAAGTTCCCTGAGAACTTCTTTCTGCTTCGTGGAAACCACGAGTCACCATCCATCTGCAGGACGTGACTAGCTGATTCATGACGTGAGACTGACAACTCGGCACATGCGTGCCATTCACGGTCTTGCTTATCGAGTGCATTGATGCAGGATCTATGGCTTTTATGACGAAATAAAGAGCCGATTCCACGTCAGAATTTGGAAAAGGTTTTGCAACTTGGATTGGAATGGTGCGTGCGCCACGCAGGAGCTGCCGTTGTTGCACTGGAGCCGTGCAGTCCGATGTACAGTCGAGGCGACGTGTTCAATTACATGCCAGCTTGTGCCATCATCGCCGACAAGGCCGACTGTCCATCAGCTCGAAACCGAAGCTTGTTTTGCCAAGAACTCTCTGTCTTCTCCATAGAATAATATGCGTTTGCAGCAGGCCGAGGGGAGCTGCAATCGTTGAAGGGATGCTAATGTCCCGGTGCGTAGTCCGCGGACAGGTGATCTGCATGCATGGTGGCTTGTCCCAAGACATGATGGACTCTAGCATCGACTTGAGACGGAAGATAAACGATCTTGTCAGGCAGGGCATGCACATAGTGTCACAGCCGTGTGTAAGGCATCGTCATCGTGCTTGACGGGTCAGTTATATTGATTGCAGAGTGCACATGTGCGCCACAGGCCTGCCGACATCCCGGACTCCGGGTTTCTTTGTGATCTGTTGTGGTCGGATCCCTCGGAGGCAGATGGGGCCATAAACGACTCTCGCGCAAACGCAGCGCACACGTGCCCCCCTGCCACTTGCAGGCCACTGTTGGCTTTGGACAGAATGACCGTGGCGTGTCGGTTTCATTTGGCGCGGCAGTTGTCACCCAGTTCCTCAGAGCGCATGACCTTGACCTGCAGCTTAGCTCCAAAACTAACAAACTGGACGGCGATGAGAGGAGAAAGAGACTCTAAGGATCGTCAGAGCACATCAGGCAGGGAACCGTGTGAAGACGAGTCCATTGGGTGTTCGGTCTGCGACAGGGGCTGCTTACATGATTCTGACAGGTGGTTGAGGATGGGTACGAGTTCTTTGCTGAAAGAGGATTGGACACTTGACAGCGACAGTTCCCACCACCAAAGACATTATTGTGACCCATAGCTATAGATAGCAATCGTAACAGTACATGCATAAAAAGCATGACAATGAATACCGTGGCACTACACTACTGAGGTTACAATCTTTTCCGCACCGAACTACTGCGGAGAGTTCGACAACGCTGCCGCAGTGCTTTGCTCATCAGCACTTCATTTCGGGAGTCAGTCTTGTGTCCATACACGACTGCATATTTGCTTCGAGAGGTGCTTTCTATTGACGAGGATCTCACATGTGCATTCTCGGCCACGCGCTTTGTGGGATCCCTGTGGGCTTTCGGCTGTCTCTGACTGCTGAGGTCCTCAAACCGTCAGCAGCGTCGCCGAACATGTGATGAGGAGCAGCGGAAAAAGCGATTTGAGTGCACTTCCTGAAACACCTGTGCTTGGAACGGTCTTTTCTCTTCATTTCTCTTCCAGCATGCAGCTTGTTTGCCAGCAGCTAGGGCAGTGGAAGCTCCTGGCAGGCAAGGACACCTGGAAACACGCCGCCATTAAGGATGCGCGTGAAGATTGAATCGCCAGATGCCGATCTGCAGGATCGTGCGTACGGCTTGTGTTTATCCAGTCACCATGCCGGGGTACCCCGAGTTTGAAAGTTCTGGCTGATTCGTGAGGGACAACCTTCTGCTTCTTGAAGTCAAAACGCGGCAGTCGTGGTGACTGCAGATCATCAGTGCTACCGTGACCTTTGCACGGCTGTAGTTTGTACAGTAGAGTGCGCGGGCGTTGCGGGGCTTTGTGCCTTAGTTGCCTTGCCACAGCTGAAGCAGACTGAAGCATGACTGGGTCGTCCGGTGGTGCTACCTTAACACTCTTGCAATTCGTCAGGTCATAGATGCGTCTTGGAGGGGCGAACGCTTGTTCATACAACGGGCGTTGCGGAGGTGGTTGTTGCAACGAGCAGTTTCAGGTAGCACGTTCACGCTATGGTGTGGTGATGACCTGCTGTTGCGCTTGGTTTCCCATTTCACTGTAGCAGATGAGCATGAGCAGTAAGCCAGACGTGGGGTCGAAAATGTCTTGACAGAGTTGCGAAATGCATGAGAAGGCATGAGCCACGTTTCATCAGAAATTCAACAGTTATACAGTTCGGGCGAGGCACACAAGATCCCTGCTTTGCAACGCAGGCCCTATCATGCGTCTTCTGATGAATTGATTGATTCCCTTTGGTAGTAGCTCCTCGACAGGGCCCCTCAATCCAGCTAGTGCAGCGCTCAGCATTTCGGAAATGAGAGCGAGCACGACCGAGGGTTGAGTGACCTTCTCTTGTGCAGACTGCCGATGATTGCACGGACGTCGACGATATCCAGACTGGGCAGTCGATGACGTTCACATACCGCAACAGGGTCTCCTTGCATATGCTGTGTACCCACTCATGGGTATTGGCCAGACTTATTTGGGCCTCTGACACCTGTTATCAGGACTACAACCACGCTGAGGGCATTAGCCTGGGAGAGCTCTCGAATGCAGCCAGCCTTGAATTGCGACTGCTGATGCCGACTGTGTGCGACATCCGTTTCTGCTCCTAGGTCGTGCAGCACTGCAAGGAATCGCCGACGAGCTTTGTAGACCCGACCTGCTTGCCAAGCCACACCAGGTGGATACTCCCCTCATGCGTCCCACACGGCAGATTTTCCAGCCGAACCTTTTCGAAACTGGCACGTATCTCTTCGCATCGACCTTACTTGCCACGAAACAGCTACCACTGGCAGGGCTTTTAGTCCATGCAGCTTCACAAGGCCATTCCGATGCTGCTCTCAGGTTGTGAACGGGTCGAAGGTCGTTGGGGGCGCTGAAAGGGTGCAGTCGAGCAGCATGGAGCCAAGATAGGAAAACAAAGAGATTTGTTCCATGCCACGGAACCGAAGGTCTTTACATAGAAGTGCAAGCGGACACAGAGATCGACCCAGAGAGGCTGGAAGTCTGCACATTGCTGTCTCGCACGCATGAAAGTCGAAGATAGTTCGTGTCATGCTTAGCTGTGCATCACAGACAGGACTCCCCTGGTTGCTGTGTTCCTGGAAAGCCTCGGTCTTGGATACACCTGCCTGTGCATTCCTTTTTGCTCTGATCAAACTCAAACATATCAGGCCCCCAGCCGGTATTCGCTGGCTCTACACTGCGACTGCGTGGTGACGCCAGCTACCCTGTGGCTGCATACCGCATGCACCTTTGTCCGTGATATGCTGCGGCAGATCACGAATCCCCAGAATGACACATCCTATACCTTTCGATGGACGGCGGCGCTCCGAGTGAGTCTTGTTGAGCTGAAGAAACATGCTGTTTAGGTTTTTAGGAACTCCAAATGCAACATCAGGCATATCGATATGGACTCAACCCGGCCTATGACGCGGAAGCCGCTTCGTTGGATCCAACCTATGCCATTCCGCAATACACTTGGGCAGAGTGCTCAGACATTCATTAGGACAAGTTAGGAGGGTTTAGTGGGAAACAACATGTGCCAAGGTGCCGCTGTCACTGGTGGATTTCAACATCAGTGATTCCGAGCAGGCAGCCACACTGATGCCTCATGCGTTTCTCAGATGGATTACACACGATTACACGGAAAAGTCTGGTTGTAAGATTGGCGGGCACACAAGCACACATCCAGGCAAGTCAGTGAAATGCAAGCTCCCGGCAACTTTCGTTGGTAGTGTCGGTATCGCGTGGCATGTCCGTGCTATTCGAGAGCATAGTTTCGCCTGGCGGCCACAATCGGCGACGAGGGCCTGCACCTGCAAATTCCTCCAGTCAGGTCACATGTCCGTCGTTTCTCAATCTAACTAGGCATCGTGTCCGCCTCGATTGAGTCCAGCGTGCGGGCAGCGGCAACATGCCAGATGGGTCTCTTTAACCAGAGGACTAAAGCTCTACAGCCAAACTCGAAATACATGAATCAAATATAAATACGTATAATAACTATAACTGACTGTAACTATAAAAGCTCTTAATATACATGTACAGAAAGCGTCGCCCTGGGCGCCCCATTCGGTCGCACTTCTAAAACATAGGCATCACATAAAAAAATAAAGGGTCGGATAATTTCTAGGTACAAATAAACAAACAAACAAGTATAAGTATGAACATACTTGTAAGTAGCATCTAAACAGAAATTGGTATAGCAATAACGAAAAAGTAAATAAACAGATAATTCAAAAAAGCTATAAATTTATACAAATAATCAACGTCATTCTATATATAAAGTATGTATATATGTAGGTATGTATGTATGTATGTATGTATGTATGTATGTAATATGTATATATGTCTGTATGTATGCATGCATGCAAGTATGTACGTGCGTATGTATGTATGTACGTACGTACGTACGTACGTACGTACGTACGTACGTACGTATGTATGTATGTATGTATGTATATATGTATATATGTATGTCTGTGCACTTACACATGCACATGCACATGCATATGCATGCACAGATGCATATAGATAGATAGACAGACAGATAGATAGATAGGGCTTTCGGATCGAACCCTAAAAACGACACGATCCATTTGCTGCCCCGCGTGGCATAGAAACCGTAGACGGCAACGCTCCACCGCCAGGAGACGTGTCAAAGCTGCGCGGCTTAAAGGCCGGACACCACCACTACGGCAACTTCGGCTGCTAACGCAGCACCACTCGGCTCCGGCTTTCAGGGAGTTGAAAGGCGATCGAACCCATCAAAGACACCAGATGGGAGGCAAGCACGTCAGCGGAGTTGGGAAACCCGCTACGATCAAGTAGCGCTGAGAGATACCCCGGCCAGGGACATGAGTCATGGGGGCAGTATGGCATGGGCAGTGCAGGCTTGCTTCAAATGCTTCAAGCCATGCAAAAATCCGTTACTGTTGTCAAGAAACAGGACCAGAAACTGCACAAGATCTTGCAAGAGAAGGAGACGCGCAAGAAGCAATTTATCCAGTACAAAGAGGATACCAAGAAGGCATTTGCCAAGCAGGTGATGCGTACGAGATGGACCTGCAGCGCTTGGATGTAGAATTTGCCTCGGCGATGGAAACGGGGCAAGTTGCAACAGCCACCTCAAGACCCCCTCAACGCGGAAGAAGCCTGGAGCTCGCTGTGGAATCAAGTCGACGAGGCAGCTCCCAGTTCAGGTTTCCTGCAAGAAGCATATGCGGCGGTTGCTGGGAGCCGTTTTACTGACGTGGCCCTGCCGGGCATGGGGCCGGAACCTATTGCAGATTCAGTTGTTGCGGCGGCTGCGAGCGTGGCAACCGGTGCTGGCAGCGCCCCAACACACCCAGCGAACGAAGTTCCTACCTGGTTCACAGATGGCCCTAACTATGAGTGGCGATGGTTCAGTCGACAGAGTCGCCCCAAGACCATCCTTTGTTTCGGCGCCGACGCCGACGGAGGTGGGCGGTTTCGCAGCTGGAGATGGGACTGCCTGTACAGTGGGCACGGAGCCTCAGTTTTGATGGATCCCTATATACATCACGTCGCCGGCCACAGGTGGCAGGATGTCACAGAATATCTCGCCGGGACACAAACGGACTCCGATCAAGCAGCAAAGTCCGATGCCTGTTATGAATTCAGGAGGGGTACCACACCAAAGACGAGTGATGCACCCTTTCGGGCTCAACCCTAGCTTCAATGCCGCCATTACACATGTGGCACCACCCACGGTTTTGGGTCCAGAGGATTCGGCAGCCGTGGATGCAGGCCATGTTACCCAGCCATGCCTCATCCCTGGTGGCGGCTAAGAGGCGTATCGGTGGCTCTGAGATGCCCGCTGCCAGCGGCAACTCTATAATTTGCAGGCGTTGGGGCAACTCTGTCAGGCTTTCTTCCTGCCTTTGCTTGGGCGTCCATGTGGGTTTGACCAGACTGTTAGCCTACTCTATCCCAGGCCGCCTTTCGCCTTTGGCGAGGTTCTGCCTCTCCTTTCTGAGATGGGTGGCAAGCGGCATCGTTGTTCCTTTAGGGAGGTTGGGCTGCATTAGTCCCCCTGTGAAGACCCCATGCAAGGCTCTCAAAGCCCAGAGACACCGCGCAGAAGCCAGGTTTTAGATGAGGGTAGTTGTCATAGCCACCTGATCTGGTCTGGCCTCTTCTCAATTTCGAGCTTTTTCTCTTCAACAGCATTGCGATCGTAGTCTGGGCAGGACTACGAGTGCAGCAGGTTGAGGCTATGACCAGGCTATATGGAGCAGGTACCTTTACTGGGAGCCATAGAGTGCAATTGCCTTGGCTGAGTTCGCTGCTGCAGGCTTCGTACATACTCCTTTTTTCCGGACAGTTTACTTGGCAGCATGTCGCTCGCCTTGCAGTCGTGATGTTTCGGAATCATGCATGCCATCAGAGGCCA